CCGCCTTTGTCTCAAACTCGAGCTTGGTCGGCACAGAACAGTTGTCGCATAACATGAACCTGAAAGTCCAAGCAAGAGATCGCAGTCTGAGGCTGGGAGCACAGGATGATAGTCTATTAGTAGAAGGAACCCCCTTGCCTACGCCGCAGCACCTTCCCTCAATTTACCTGAGCAGTTCAGCAACTCAACATGGGAAGAAGAAGAAGAAAAAAAAGAGTCGGCTTGTTCACCATTCGTGTCGCCGACCCAATTAAGGCTACTAAATGATACTCTTAATTATTATCATTGTCCTGTCGCTGGATCTGGCCGGTGCAATTGCGATGCAGGTAGAACAAACGTGGAGACAATTACAAGCATCTTGGAGTAGTATTATTCTTTTGCTTATCCCGATTCAGTTTTTCTTTCTTCTTTGTATCATCCAATCAGTCTACACTACACTACAGGATGTCTATATAGACCGGTGTACACGGAGTTCTTCGCAGGAACTTGCAAGAAATATTTCTCAAGGCTAGCTCGGGAGTGTCTAAGATGGAAGCAGCAGACGAGGAGAGGCCACTTCTGAACCACCGTTGCCTGCCTCCACAGCCGCAGGTGATCTCTAGATATTTCTCTGCTGAACCAACATCTCTGCTGCCTAGTTGGCATCCTATAGTGTGGAATTTGGTGATCAAATTTAGTCTCTGCATTTGTTGTTCAGGACGAGTGTTCAAGATACACCAGTGATGGAACAGTTGATGTCTACAGACAGCCTGCTCTCAAGCAGAGCACCGGCAACTGGAGAGCATGCGTCTTCATCCTAGGTACTGCGCACAGTTTACAACACATATGCTTTTTGCGCCTTTCTTCTAAAGTAACCTGTATAACTCAGGCGCCGAATTCAGCGAGTGCTTGTGCTTCTTCGCCGTCTCCAAGAACTTGGTCACCTACCTCACGACGGTGCTCCACGAGAGCAACGTCGACGCCGCGAGGAATGTGTCCACCTGGGTCGGCAGCTGCTTCATCACGCCGGTCGTCGGAGCTTTCTTGGCCGATTCTTATTGGGGACGATACTCGACAATTGCAATCTTCCTCTCTGTTTACATCTTTGTAAGTGAGGCAACCAGAATGCCATCCGATCAGTTTAATCCGCAACGTTTCTGAATTTACTGTAAAAAATGCTGTGCAACATTTCTGAAAATTCTGTCAGGGGATGCTCATCATGACATCATCGACGGCGCTTCCCTGGCTCCTGCCTCGTTTTTCCGACGAGAGCAGTGGTGTCCATCGCGCCGCCGTATACCTGGGGCTCTACCTTGTCGCCCTCGGCACCGGCGGGATCAAGCCCTGCGCCACGGCCCTGGGCGCCGACCAGTTCGACGTTGCCGACCCGGCGGAGCGGGTGGCCAAGGGATCCTTCTTCAACTGGTACTACTTCTCGATCAACATCAGCTCGCTGCTGTCGGCGACGTTGCTCGTATGGGTGCAGGACAACATCGGGTGGACCGTCGGGCTCGCGATCCCGACGGTGCTCATCGGGTTCGGCCTCGCCGTATTCGTTGCCGGCGGGAAGATATACAGGTACAAGCCACTGGGAGTGGGAGGTAGCCCGCTGACGAGGGTCTTCCAGGTGGTTGTCGCCGCCGCAAGGAATTGCCGTCTCGAGCTGCCCGATGATGCCTCGGCCCTGCACGAACATGGCGGGGCGGAGCATACCAGTCAATTCAGGTTCTTTGACAAGGCTGCGATCGTGATGCCGTCGACGGAGAAGAAGGGCCCGTGGCGGCTCTGCGCGGTGTCGCAGGTGGAGGAGCTGAAGATGCTGCTGCGGATGTCCCCCGTCTGGGCGTCGACGCTGGTCTTCTTCGCGGTCACCGCGCAGATGTCGTCGACGATGATCGAGCTGGGGATGGCCATGGACAACCGCGTCGGCACCTGTGTCGTGCCGCCGGCGTCGATCTCCACCTTTGACATTGTCAGCGTCCTCGTCTGGGTTCCCATCTACGACGCCGTGCTGGTGCCGCTCGCGCGGCGCGTCACCGATCAGGACAGGGGCTTCACGCAGCTGCAGCGCATCGGCGTCGGCCTTGCTCTGTCCGCGGCCGCCATGGCGTACGCCGCGTCGGTCGAGACGAGGCGGCTGGCGGCGGCGCCGGAGACCTCGATGAGCATCATGTGGCTGGCGCCGTGCTACTTCGTGCTGGGCGCGGCCGAGGTGTTCACCAGCATCGGCATGCTCGAGTTCTTCTACGACCAGTCCCCGGAGTCCATGAAGAGCCTGGGTGTGGCGCTCGCGCAGCTCGCCGTCGCTGGCGGGAACTACCTCAACTCTGGCCTGCTCGGCGCCGTCGCGTCGGCCACGGGGTGGATCCCGGACAACCTCGACCAAGGCCACCTTGACTACTTCTTCTGGTTCATGGCGGCTCTCAGCGTGCTTAACCTGTTGCAGTTCGTCTACTGCCACTAGTAGAAAAAGAGGCTTCCGTCCAGCCCCATTAGTCGCGAAACTGTAGGAACCGCGACTAATGAAGTCTTTAGTCGCGGTTCGGCAGACGAACCGCGACCAAAGGCTTGGGCCAGGGCGCTCGGTGGCCAGCTGGTGCACGTGAGGGGCTTTAGTCGCGGTTGGGCAGGCCAACCGCGACTAAAGGTGCCCAAAGGCCTTTAGTCGCGGTTGGCCTGGCCAACCGCGACTAAAGCTCCTCCCCTATATATACCAGTTCAGCGCACTCACTTAGCCATTTGGTGCCACTTCTCTTCACAAGGGGGTGTAGGTTTGCTTTTGGTTCCTCTTATGCACACAAGGTGTTTGATGAAATGCCCAACAGCGTGAAACAAACATGATATGAAGTGTTGGAGCCACACTTGAGGTTCCTCCTCGATCGCGGTTAGCAACTTGAACCTTTCATGCATGTGTGTCATAAGCGAGTTTTACCAGGCTGGTGGGGGTGCATAGTCGTGTTCGCCCATATAAGGGGATAAGGATCCACCTTTTCATCCACGCCTTCTTTCTCCTTTGCCTATCCATTTCCGCGCACTCAAGCTCCAGCACCCAAGTCCGCACACCCCACGTCAACCTTCTCCAGCCATGTCCGGAGCAGGAGGCAAGTGGATGGTCTCCTCCGTCACGGAGGGACACATCAAAAGACTGAGGAAGGCCGGATACTTGTCTAACGACATTGCGCACCGGCTTCCCGAAGAGGGGCAGCTCATCCCCACCCCTAGGCCCCATGAGAGGGTGGTGTTCCTCCCCCATTTCCTCCGCGAACTGGGCTTCTCTCTCCACCCATTTGTCCGGGGGGCTCATGTTCTACTATGGCCTGGATTTCCATGATCTGGCCCCGAATTTTGTCCTCAACATCTCGGCGTTTATCGTCGTGTGCGAGGCTTTCTTCCGCATCCGCCCCCATTTCGGCCTATGACTCAAGACTTTCAATGTCAAGCCGAAGGTGGTGCGCGGCACCCAAGCGGAGTGCGGAGGCGCCATGGTGGGCAAGATGCCCAACGTCCTATGGTTCGAGGGCTCCTTCGTGGAGTCCCTAAAGGGGTGGCAGTCGGGGTGGTTTTACATCACCGAGCTGCGCGACCCTGAATGGGTCGCAGCCCCCGAGTTCTGATGCGGACCCCCTACGCGGCTCGCCTCCTGGAAAGAGACGGGCCTGTCGTGGGGTAAAACAGGAGAGTTGACCGGACTCCAAACATGCGTCCAAACCCTGTGGGACAGGAATCTCAAACTTATCAATGTAGTCCAGGTTATGCTCATCCGTTGGATCCTCCCGTGTCAACAACAGGCTTTCAACCTGTGGGAGTTCGACCCGACACGGCACCGAACTTTGAGCAGGCTCTTCGACACGACATACGAAGATGCCTGGAAGGTGCTTTTCAAGGGCACCGAGGCCCCCGCATCCGCTACCGAGGATCGCGGATTCAGCATGCAGTGTCACGCTCGTGCGGTAAGCTGTTTTCACCTTTTACAGGATATTAGTTTTTCATAGTTTGACTCCATGCGGGATCTAAGTTCCCTTACCTTTGACAGGATTGGCAGGAGACGTCCGGACAGATCAACTGTCCGGCTCCTTTTTCCGAAGGCCCAGCGGACGCTCGCTTGGCGAAGCTGCTGGTTCCGGCACCTTAGGTGGTGCCGGAGAAGAAGGCCAAGAAGAAGGCCACAGGGACTCGAAAGAGTGCCCGGCGCCAGGAGGTGTCGGATTCACCATCCGATGACTCCAAGGCGCGCTCCTCCCATGAAGACGAGGAGGAGGAAGAGGAGACCTCTCCCCCCCCCAGGCGGGGGGAGGGAAGAAAAGGAAGGCCGCCCCAACCGGGGAGGCCGAAGGGTCCAAGAGGGGGAATACCCCTCCTCCGGACTACTCCACCAACGCCGACGACAGCGAAGAGGAGTGGCCGCACAGGGCCAAGCCCCTGGCGAAATCGTAAGTATCCGGATACCAGAGTGATTCATAGTATTCCCCCATTGCACAGCTTTTCCTTACGTCGAACATGATTGTGCAGTCCGCCCAAGGCCGGGCTCGACGAGTCGTCGAGCGGCTCCCTGGACTCATCGGATGTGAATTCGCTTCCGACGGCTTCCTCCCCCCACCCTACGGACGGCGCCGAGGTGGCGTCCCAACAGGTTCCAAGCCAGGAGGAGGTGGTCATGGGGGCACTGCAAGGCAACCTCTCGGACTCCAGGTGTAAAGGGGATAGAACCCCAAAGGGCTCCAAGTTCGACCTTGAGCCGGACACCGCACCGGAACCTTCAACGGTTCCAGACTCCGGTAGGCAGCCTCCTTCCAAGAGGAGCAAGCCTACCGAGTCGGTGACCTCCGTCCAACCGGAGGCACCGGAAAATTTGCTGGAGACGCTTAACGGCGCCTCCATCGACGAGGAGCACCGCACTATTATGAGTGTGGTGATCCAGAAGGTTCGGTCCGCTAAGAGCGGACTGACTGAAGCCTGTGCCAGCCTTCTAACAGGCTTTGAGGTAAGTAAATGAAAGTGCGTTATATCGACTAGAGGGGGGTGAATAGGCGATTTTTATGAAAGTCTTCAAAACGTGGAAGTTATGAAGACAAACGATAGAAATAAACCTATTACCCTGCAGCGAAAGGTGGACTACACTAGGCAAGCCATAGTCAAGTATTCAATAGAGAGAACGCACAATGACTAATAGCAGCAATGTAGTAAGGATCAGGTAGGAAGACATTATGAAGCCAAACAGAACACGCAGTCACTCAGTGAAGATATAAGATAGTGCAATCATACAATGACTTCACAAGGAGTAACAGTACGTAAAGAGAAGGGAAGGATGAAACCAGTGACTCGTTGAAGACAATGATGTGTTGGACCAGTTCCAGTTGCTGTGACAACTGTACGTCTGGTTAGGGCGGCTAGGTATTTAAACCTGAGGACACACAGTCCCGGCACCCAGTCCTGAACACGCAGCTCAGGACACCCAGTCCTCACCGTATTCCCCTTGAGCTAAGGTCACACAGACATCGCCCAATCACTCTGGTAAGTCTTCAAGGTAGACTCCCAAACCTTCACAGACTTCGTTCACCGGCAATCCACAATGTCTCTTGGATGCTCAGAACGCGACGCCTAACCGGGTGGAGGATTCACAGTCCTCAAGTGTAATAAGTCTTCAGATCACACAGACAAGAAGACTTAAGTGATGCCTAATTCTCTTTGGCTTTGGGTGGTTAGGGCTTTATCCTCGCAAGGAATTCTCTCTCACAGGCTTCGAGGTGGGTTGCTCTCAAACGACAAAAGCCGTACACTAACTCTATTTCAAACTCACACGGCAACTTTACTTGGGCTACAAGAAAAGCTGACTTGTCCGACTCTGGACAAGATTCGCTCTCATAGTCTTCACTCGAAGACATAGGTTTTGATTAAGCATCACTTCAGTCATTCTGACTGGTTCTCTTGGACCCCACTTAACAGTACGGTGGTTCCTATGACTCAATAAAGAAGAAAAAGAACTACGAAATATCTAAGTCTTCGAGCTCCATAGGCTTCATGTGATGTCTTCTCTTGTCATAGTCTTCAATGTGAATATCTTCATATACCACCTTTGACTTCAATGTCTTCATACATTTTTAGGGGTCATCTCTGGTAGGAAAACCGAATCAATGAGGGACTTCTACCTGTGTTATCCTGCAATTCTCACAAACACATTAGTCCCTCAACTAAGTTTGTCGTCAATACTCCAAAACCAACTAGGGGTGGCACTAGATGCACTTACAATCTCCCCCTTTTTGGTGATTGATGACAAACTAGTTGAAGTTTTCAACGGGGAATATAATATGTGAAATTGTAAAGGATAAGGAATTGTCTTCATAAGTTGCAAGTGCTCCCCCTGAAGATGTGCATATAAGTAATTTGCTTTTGGAATGCAAATGCACATGGCAGGTTGTGCTTGTGGAGATCCTCTTCAACTTATGATGACAATCCACTATGCATGTGAAGGTATGTGAAGATAATGACATGCATAATGGAAAATGGACATCTGCAAAATGATCTAAGTGCGGAATTTATCGTCGCACATGCGGAATTTATCATCGCATGACAAAATGGCAAATAGGTAGCAGACGACCATCGAGTTTAAGTGTTACAACTCAAAGAACCAAATGTATCAAAAAACGAGAGTTGTAAACACGAAGCAAAATATGAAGCACCTGCTCATATGGACCCGCTTGAAGACTATTAAACTCATATGCTTCTCCCCTTTTGTCAGTAAGGACCAAAAAGGTTTGAAGACATAGAGCCTCTACTCGTTCTCATGAAGAGTAGGTGAAGCAGCAGGATCGTTGGTGGTGTTCGGTGGTGTAGAAGAGCTTGGAGCAGTGTCGAAGCGTGCTGAAGGAGGCGGAGGTGAAGTAGCATTGTCGTCATCCTCGATCACTCTGGCATTTACAGATGCAGCAGAGGAAGAGAACTCAGAGTCTTCAAGAGATGGAGTTCGTCGCAGCACTGCCCTTCGAGGAGGTGTGGAGTCAAACTTGAAGCGCTCAGAGAAGCCATCCTCTTGAAGATCATCTTCAGAACACATCAGCGTCAGCCCTTTCCATGTGCGTCGAGAAGTTTCATGAGCAACAAAGGCATTCTTGGTGGCAAGATTGCGAATGCGATTAACATCCACCAAGAGGCTTTGCATTTGACGCTTCAGCCAGTCATGATGCCTATCCTGTTTCTGATGAAGAGCCACAAGAAGCTCTCGGTCATTGAGAACACGAGTGCGCTTCTTGGGTCGTGGGGCAGTTGTACTGTCAGTGGCTTCAGTGAGAGCAGGATGCGGTGCACGTGTAGTGCCAGCCAAAGGATACACACGAGTGACTGCTTCAACTCCTTCAATGTTCTGAGAAAAATTTTGATGCTCTGCATTCTGAAGACTTAGAGGTTTCTTGGCAGGCTCAGGATAGATGGCTTCAATAGACATATCCATATCAGGCAGAAAAATCCGAT